CTGATGCACTCTTGATAACGTTGCAAATGCTCTAAGCAAGCTTGTATTGCTTAAGGTCACTACAAAAAACAAGAGGTCTAACTGAAATGGGACTCCTCCTTGGCAGGTTCTACAGAAAGAGTTTTCAAACTGGCCTCCAAAGCACCTCCTGGGGATTTCTGAACAGATCAGGTGCTCTAGGGGAAGGAACTGCTGCTTTTTTCAAGACTATTAGCACTACATTAAGTCCATAATCACATTCAGAAGACACTTTCCTCTTGTAAATCAAGAGGCAAATCTTGCTTCAGTTGTTTTTTACTGAAATAAGGCTGCTGGAACTGTACAAATGCAGCATACCACAATTATCAGGTATATATATATACTCATGCTATGCTATGTGCTACGCCTGCAGTAAAAAATGGCAACATGTACTCTAAAGTAATAGAATTACAGTACTATACCACTGTAGCATTTCTGCTAGCACCATGGTAATATTTATCTTCCATACCTTTGCAGAGAACTTGGGAATGAAAATGCTTTGATGAAAACTATACATGTCTAAATTATTCCAAATATCCAATGAAGAGTGGATTCAGGATGAAAAACACAAAGTGAGCTCATTCATTCCATGTTCAGGCCTGCTAAGATAAAGCTTAATAAAATATGGCTGAAGCAAAAGACAGCAAAACAGAAAGGTGATAGTGTGATACTTCATGTTTTCAGTTACTGAAATGAGCAGATGTCATGATTTTCTTCAAGGAAGAGGCTTCTAAGTTTTGTTCTGAGTTTGGTAGGACAGAATCTATATTCCTAGTTGCTATCACTTTTACACTATATGGCATCTGTGACATCTGTATGTTTTCCATTGTAGTTCTTAATTACTAACAAGTTGTTCTAGAATACAATGAGCTGCACATTCCCTCAGTTAATTCTCCTACCCACCCACCTGCTTCTTGAGGTCTGTATAGCCCTCCATTAGGAGCAAGAGAATTGCTAAGCTCTTGCTTCTGTCAGGCCTCCAAAATCAAATCTCTACCCAGTGGGTTTTAGCGTTCCTTCAGAGTAACCCAGCTATCATTAAAACTGCCAGAGCCTTTCCAAGCCCTAATCTTTTAACTGGAATCACAGTGGTTTGGGACACAGGATCTGGTCTCAGTAGGACTACAGGCTGTCTTCCCACTCTGCCTGCTACAGAGCTGCATTCACGCTGACTCTGATTCTTCCTGAAAGAGATGTCTCTTATCCATCAGCAAAACAGAGCTGTGTGGAAAGCTGTGGTGGTGTCACACCTGTTCCAAACTGGAGACATTTCTGCAGGTCTCCTAAATGGAGCTTTCTTTTGCCTGACAGGATGTCCTCACTACTGTCTCAGTCTCATTCTCTGTTCTCTTCAGTATGAAAGGAAAGCTACACATCTGAACTAACTGAACCTGTCACTCATCATCTATTTTTTCCATTAATGTTATTACAGCCTCTGTTGTGTATTTTTTGAAGTCCAAACTAGGCCCACTGCCATTTTCATGAGATTTGGAGCCACTGATCATAAAAATTTTCATCACAGGCGGCAGCAGAAAATGACAAGAATGACCTTGATTATCTCTTCAGAAGATAAGAAGTATGAATCACCATTTTTATTTATTCCAGCAGCCCATCTAGCCCAGATGCCTTGGACTGATGGTGACAAATAGAGGATGCTTACCAAAAGACTGGAAGCAATAGGATAAGTGTAGAATTTCCTAACTTCTGGCAGTCAGAGGTTATGGGAATTTCCTGAGCCAGAGATTTCACAGGATTGCATCATCATGTTTACTCGCCATTGATAGACTTATCGACCATAAATTGTCTGATCCGTTCTGAACTTTCTTGAACCTCCACATCATCCTTTGATGACAGTCCAGACAGTCTTTTATACTAAAACTGCTTTTGCAATAAAAGGGAGAATATCCACAAATCCCTATTTAGTCTGGAAGCCTGCTCTAGTGTAGGAGGGCTCAGACTGTCTTCTCAAAGACTTTGTTATTGCAGTTCAGAAATGCAGATCTTCATTTTTTTTTTCTTTTTGATAACTTAATCTTGCTGTTTTTCTTTCCGTTCACTTTTTTTTTCTTTTTGGCCCTCGTTCATTGGGTTTTGTGGACCAAGCATTGATGTCCTGTGGTGCCATGTGCATCCCTGCGTAACTTGGAAAAAATTCCGAGCTGTATTTTTCATGCAAGATCAAAAATGGATATTTGTTGAAATATGCGGTGATATGAACTGTGCGTTGGAGGTTAGATTGTGCCTCTAGGTTTGTTTCTCTCTCTTGCTTTCCTCTTCATTAGTTATTTTTCTTTCCTGTTTGCCTGGATTTTCATACATGCCTCTTCTGTTCTCACACATCCACTGTGATTCCCCCTCAATTCTGATAATAGAATGGAATTAGATGTCTGTGCAAAAAAAAAAAAAAGGGTATTACATTAGGGTATTTTTAGGTTCCCCAGAAGTCTTGAAACAGACATAGATTATTAGATTGTATGAGAAGAAGGAAAATATTAAATAATATATTGTATTAGTGACTTAGTATCACATTTTTACAGTAAATGGATATTTGCCCCAGACAAAGTCTATAGGTTGTTGGCCAAATGCCTTCAATTGCCACTAAAAAACTTTGAGACCTTCATGGTGTTTAGCACAGGCTGGCCTCAGCTATCATTAATAATAACATGAAGTTACTCTGCAGTTACTGTATTTATTTGCATCCTGCCTAGTAGTTTTGAGGTATGGAAAAACACTGGTCATTTATGGTGTGAAGAGGGACACACAGAATGCTTTCTGCTGTGCTGAGTCACAGCTGCTAACGCATGAAAAAGGATGTGTATTCTTCTCTGATTTCCACATTTACTGTAAGGTTTTTTAAGTGAAACATTTTGGATAATTATTACTTTGTTATTTTTTTTGCCAGAAGGTGTGGGTCTCATTTAATCATGAGCCTCCACAGCAATCTTAAATTACTGACCCTTGGGCTGTTTTACTGTAACTCTACTTGTCCTCAATCCCCATGTTCTTGTGCACTGTGACACATGCTATTTCAGAGGCTTGGGAAAATAAGGAGCTTGGGAAATTGCAAACAGTAGGAAAAACTGCACGTTTGTAAGACCCTCCCTGAGCAATGGGTCTGGGGCTCCTCTGCCCACCGGATGATGCGTGCTAGGCAGCCATGTGATTCAGCTGCTTCCTCATGCTTTATTGGTCTGTGCTATCTGCCTGCCTGCTGTGTATAAACAAATGAGTGGCTCCTCTCCCAAAAAACATCAAAACAAGACACATGAAGTTTGTAATATTTCTGAGAAAGACAAACTCATTTGTGTATGAACAGATTTGCTAAGCAGGCAGTGTGAATTCAAATACCCATAGGGAAAAACGAGGAAAATAACCAGCAAGGAGGAAATCTGTAAGTTGATGGTAGGTGCAAGACATCCATTACCATTGGGAAGATCAGCTGGACTGTTGTTCTCCCCTGCCCACCAACCCCAGTGTGTTGGTATGTTGTTGGCTGGAAGCCAGGCAGAAAGCACTAATGAGGAAAAATAAATTGAGAACAACAACAACAACAAAATCTGAAATCCACCAACGTGTTCTCTCTTTTTGTTAAAATTAAAACGAAAAAAATACTGAGCCTAATCCCTTGAGAGATTTATGGATTCTCTTTTAGTTCACCTCGGAGCTGGATTATGTTAGTTGGTCTCTGGCTGCTGGTCATGTAAAGAGGTTGGCTTTAGCTCACTTTTAAATTGGAGGAAATTCATGACTCTTGTGTTTGTGAACAAACCACGATCCATGGGCAGCTGATGCGGTGGGAGTGCCTGCAGATGACCTCAAATCAGTTCCAAGGGAGGAGGATAATGTCACTGCTTTCTTGGCCACATGAGCTGCATGGTTCTGCCTCCTCCCTCTGTAGTGCTTGCTGCAGGCCCTTGATGTGTGCTGCAGCTATGTTAAATGCCCATCAAATGTTCTCTGCCTAAGAAAAGCATCTGTGTGGATGTTCAGTCTACATGAATGCATGGCTGATACAGCTTGCCCATCCAAAGAGACCCCCTGCTAGCGAGAGGGCAAGCAGAGGTTCCTAAAGGGTACTTGTAGTCAGGTGCTGGAACATCAGGAAGGGACAGTGGAGCAAATGGGGTTGGGTACAGCAGCAGTGTTCAGTATCATAGACTCGCAGAATCACTATGGTTGGAAAAGACCACTGAGATCCTCTAGTTCAACTGCCAACCCATCACCACCTTGCCCACCGAACCATATCCCTAAGTGCCATATCTACATGTTTCTTGAACACCTCCAGGGACAGTGACTCCACCGCCTCAGTGGTGGGCACATTCCTCATGTTGAATGTGAAGTTGGTGGCTGGATGGCACTTTGGGACACTGTGATGTGTCCCTTCCTGATGGTGTCTCATCTTTGGTGGGGAGTGGCACAAGGAGCTACGGCACTGAGCTATCAGGTGTCCGCACGTACCCGCGCTTCTGCTGGTGGATGGCGGTGCGGGGGTGGTTCCGTGTGCCAGGTTTGATGACACATTTGAAGCTGATACTCTCAGCATCATATGACCCCATGTCCCCACATTTTAGTCATTTCAGAGCCTTGCATCACTACCCTGCTGGCTTGTTGGGTGCCCTGTGTTTAGCAGCAAATATTTATGACATGCTGAGGGAAGAATGAAGTTTAACTCATGTCCTTAACTAACCCTCAAGTGAGGGATTAACTGCCTACTGCATTCTTCTACTAAGTATTAATCACTTAACATTATTTCCATTTTTTAGAAGTCTTTTGATTGCGCAGTACGGCAGTGCACAGTTTGGTTTGAGGTTGGGGCATCTGGAGGCTTCTGAGGCCATGGTTGCTGCCGGCCAGCATGGCCCCATGTGCCGCTCCGGGCGATGGGAAGCCAGGTGCCGAGGGGCCGCAGCTCTGCATCCTCTCGCCCTTCCCTCACAGACCTGTCCTCCTGGCTGCAACAGAGTTAAAAAAATAATTACCAGTTTTTCAAAGGATCACCCACATACACATGGTATGAGAGTTCTTTTCTTTGTTGGTTTCATTTTATTTGTACATGACTCACTCTTGGCAAAATGAGTGAGCCTCATGAGCCTGTAAAAATTCTGTTTGGATTAAATGATTTGCATTAAATGACTTATAACTGCAAGGATGGTTCCTGTAATTCCTGGAGGAAAAACAATCCGGTCGTACTTTCAGGTAGCTACTGCCTTCGCGCCTCTGCCTCCAGACACCATCTTCCTTGCCAACAGCTGTCTGTGAGGCTCGAGGTGATCCTCCTTCCCTTCCCGCCTTGTGCGTTAGAGTATTAGAGCGGCGATGGGGATGCACTGCCATCCATCCCAGCGTGACTGAAACCCATCCAGCACGTGCCCTAGGACCAGCGAGGAGAGCCCTCAGCGGTGCGCCTCTAAGCTCCAGCCGTGCAGGTCAGGGCCCGCTGCTCGCTGCTCGCCCAGGGACGGCTCCCCAGAACAAGTGCCGGGGGACACGGGGATCCCGCAGCAATCTGCTCACGCTGCTCCCCTGGTCGAGGCCTGCGGGCAAGAGCCGGCTGCGGTCCACCGGTCCCCGGCACGGTTGAGACACAGCGTCGGTGCCCGCGGGAAAGCCGCCGACAGCGGTCGGCTTCAGCCTCCGATCGCGGCGATCTTCCTCCCCCCGTGCCGCGCCGTGAGGACGGCTCCCGGCCGAGCTCAGGGCGCGGGATTCCCCCCCTTCGGCACCGAGACCCCCGCAGCCCGCGAGCCGCTGAGCCCGGCAGCGCGTCCGGCGGGGCGGTGACCCGGACCCCGCCCCGCCCGGGGCAGCCCCGGCCCGGCGCTGCAAGAGGCGGCGGGGCCGGGGCCGCTATCTGCCGGGCCGCGCTTCCCCCC